ATAATTATAGGAGCAAACAATTTTATTCGCTCCTTTATTTATAAAGGTTGATAATTTTTAAAGATCGTCTTTATTTTTTATCTTCATTTTAATTTCACAAGATAGAAACGAATGGATTCGACGCATTATATATGTTTATACTATTATTTTTCACTTGCATCTTTTACAAATTCAACCAAGTCCAAACATTTTAAACATCTGTTCAACGGATATATCTTCGAATTAAGGGTTAAATACACATTGCCAACCGACAAGTAAGGGATGATCCCGTTTTAAACGCGTATCATAATTAAACAGATTTATATTTTTACATCAAATATATCTTCGCGTATTAAATTTGGACGATCGTGTTTTCGAGTTGAGATTATCCCAGAAAAGCAGGAAAAAAAGGAAAAATATCGCATCGAAAATAGATTGATCTCAATATCGCAAAACATTTGGATATTTTCCAACGTTTTGTCCAAAAGAAAATTTCAAGATCCCCTCCAAAATGAAAGAGACAGAGAGAGAGAGAGAGAAATAACAGCCTCAAATAAGAGTTTAAAAAGAATTCGCCGATAACCATTTGTATTCCATTTTACAGACCGAGATTGCTAAAAGGTTGAACGCGATAATCGTCCAGCTACTTCCGTTCCTGGCACAAGAGGTGAGTCTTTGACTTTCTGTTTGGCACGTGTGCCGTACAATCTTACGATCGAGAGTGACAACGACGCGATAATGATAGCATGGCTTGCAGCATCAGCAGCAGGTGGCCAATGCCGTAGAGAGGGCGAAGCAAGTCACGATGTCCGAGCTGAACGCTATTATTGGGGTGAGCCTCTTCACGATCGATTCTTATTAAACTTCTTTTTAGTTTTGGCAAGCGGTTGGACATTGATCTTGGCACATTGTGCGTCCCTAACTCTCCGAGCTGCTCTCCGTCCCGATTGTGTATATATAATTTAATTTCCACGATTTAAACCACGACTCTTCCCTTCCCTTCCCCCTAAAAAAAAATCACGTGTGATGATCGATACCACCGCCTGTACCATCTCACTCACGAAATTCTTCTTTTTCTTTTCTCGTAGCAACAACAGCAACAGGGTCTGCAACAACTATTGGTGAGTTCCATTCTATTTTCTTTTTCTTTTTTTTTTTTTTTCAATTTTTTTTTT